GTCTCCTTCAGAAAGGCTTGCCTTCTTATTACTTTGTTTGTTTGCTTTTCGAGACAGGGTTTCTCTGTGTAGCCTTGACTGTCCTGGAACTCGCTCTGTAGACCAGGCTGGCCTGAAACTGAGAGATCACCTGACTCTGACTCCTGAGTGCTAGGATTAAAGGCGTGCACCACCACCACCTGGCTCTTACTTCATCTTTTAAAAATATTTTTTTGTTTGTTTGTTTGTTTTATGTGTATGAGTGATTTACCTGCACATATGTATATGTACAATATGTGTGTAGTGCTACCAGATGCCAGAAGAGGGCATCAGATCCCTTAGAACTGGAGTTATAGATGGTTGAAAGCCGCCATGTGAGTACTGGGAACTGAATTTGGGTCCTCTGGAAGAGCAGCAAGTGTTCTTGCTGAAGAGGTACTGAGCCTCTAACAGAACCATGTCCCACTTCCAGGAATGTTATGTCTGATTACTGCAATGGTCAGTAATCTAAATCTTCCTTCCTCTTGACACACATTCATTAATTTCACCCTTTATTAACTCAATTATTAGAAAAGTATTTATTGAGTGTCTACTATATACCATAGTGTGCTAAAGCTACAAGGATCAAACAGTTCTAATTTTTCCTTATTGTTTTACACTTTATGTTTTCCCTAATAATATAATTGACAAATGAAAATTTGTATATATTCAAGTATACAATGTGATGATTTGGAATATGTGTACTGTGTTGGCTAGTTTTATGTCAACTTAACACTAGCTATAATCATCTGAGAGGAGGGAACCTCAATAGAGAAAATGTCACCATAAGATCATGCTGTAGACAAGCCTATAGGGCATTTTCTTCATTAGTGATGGATGTGGGAGGGCTCAGCTCACTGTAGGTGGGGCCACCCCTGGGATGAAGGCACTAGTTTCTATAAGAAAGCAGGCTGAGCAAGCCATAGAGAGCAAGTCAGTAAGCAGTACTCTTCACGGCCTCTGCATCAGCTCCTGCCTCCAGGTTCCTGCCCTTTGAGTTCCTGCCCTGACTTCCCTCAGTGATGGGCTATGATGTAGAAGGGTAAGCCAAATAAACTCTTTTGTCCTGAACTTGCTTTTGGTCATGGTGTTTCATCATAGCAATAATAACCCTAACTAAGACATATACATTATAAAATGATTACCACAATCAAATTAACTCAACCCACACACAGTTATTGGTGTCTGTGTGGTGTATTCTAACGTGTCACTCTCTTAGGAAATGTTACCATGTTACACTGGGTCCCAAGAATTTCACCTGTTTCCTTGTAGAAATCAGTATAATGATCATGTTTTTTAAATAAGTACTAAAGAGGCCTTATATTTCAGACATACATAGTTAGTGAGTATTTATGGATAAAATAATGATGAAAAATTATGAGACATAAATTGAAAGTTTGGTGATGAGCTGAAAAATACTGGTTATGAATGATGGGCACAGTGGAGTTCATTATATACTATGTGACTAGCTTTTGTATAAGTAAAATCAAAAGGCACTTTTAAAGTATTAGTACAAGGCAATAAATTCTAGCTGGCCAGTGAACCACATATCCATAGACCAAAGCATATGATCAGAACAGCCACTCCAAGCTTGCAGGGGGCATCACCATGGTGAAGCACAGGGCTGCGACACTGACCACACACACTCACAGGTCAGGAGATGGTCGTTCTAGCTGATTTTCAGAGGACCCTCATCCTGAATGAGTTGCCCCCAGGCTCTCCTGAGGGAGACAGCAACAGCAGAGTGGTCAGAACCCTCATTTGGACAAGTAGACTCACTGCTGCTCAAACCAATAATTGTTTGTTTTTCACCTAAGTGACCAAAGGAGCCGGGGTCCTTAAGTGGACTATGGGATAATATAAAAATTATGACTCATTAAGTCTCTCTGTAGAGGTTTTGATTTCAATTAAAATGCTGCTATGAATGCAGCTCAGTAGACAACATGCTTTCCTAGCAAGCACAAATCCGTGGGTTCTATCTGCAGCACCACATAAACCAGGTGTGCTGTAAACCCAGCACTCCAAAGGTGAAGGCAGAAGCCCAGCAGTTTGAGATCCTTGGCTATATATCGCAAGTTTGAGGCCGGCCAAGTCTACACACATGAGACTCTGTCTTTTAAAAAAAAAATAAAATCAGTTACAACAGACATGTGTCTAGACCTCTGACTGACGAGGTTATTTTTAGGTTTGTTCTGGAGTTTACTATTCAAATAATATTAGCTATTAAAATGCTTGTGTTGGGCCAATGTTCCAGGAAGATGTGTTAGCCCAGCAGGTACACACACACTGGTTAGCCAGCAGAAGCTTTTACTCACGAACTAAGCAGGAAGCAAACGGAAGGGAGGGAAGAGGCAATCTCTAAAGAACAATGAGGCTGAGCACCATTTGATATGCTCCTCGGGACCCCGACGTGCTCAGCATGTCACCATAAATGGCACTGACATCAAAAACCTGAGTGTAGGGAAGGAGATCAAGTCTTCCATCATCTGGGTTCTTCCAACCAGGGGCAGAGATGCCATGAGTTCAGTGACATGAAATGGACATTGTGGCTCACAACGTTTGCCACTACCTTCAGTGTCCTCCGCCCTCTCTCTCAGCCCTCTCTCTTCACGTTCCTGAGTCCAAAGCTTGCCTCAGGCCAGCCTCCTTCAGAAAGTCTTTGTGATCATCCAAGTTCTCGGCTCCCATACTAGTTACTATCTGTGTCATTCACTCAGGGTCTATCATTTATTACCTTTTTATGCGTAAGAAGTAAGAGAGAAGCAGATAGGACTAATTTTTTAATCAAATACAACTCATCATACAAAGCCCAATATGATGTGAGAGGTTGGGGGTGGGGGAAGGTATGCATGCCTGTGAGGGAGTTGTGTGCTTGTAGAGACTTAACATTATGTGTCTTCCTCAATAACTCTCTAACTCGTTTTTAAGACAGGGTCTGTCACTAAACCTGGAGCTCACTGATTAGGTAGACTGATTGGACAATGAGATCTAGACACATATCCATTTCTTCCCCTCCCCGGCACCCAGCTTTTACAGGAAGGCTGGTATCCAAACAGGTCCCCAATCCTACGAGGTGCTTTTGGGAAGAAAATCAGTGTGCTGCAGCCCCAGTTCTGTATCACACTGGAGACCTGATACCACACAAATAACAGGGCATTTCACATTATCTTGGCCCCCGAAAAGGGGGTTAAAATGCTAGTCTGTTCTTAAAAGTGCCACATTGAATGACACCACGGAAGTCCTTTGAACACACTATTTGGATTTAGCTTAGTATTCACTCATCATTGTTGGTTCTTTTTCTGTCTGAGTCTGTCCTGAATATTCATTGGGGGACTCCTAGAGGCTCAAGTCTCTAATACAAAATGACGTATTTGGGACTGGAAAGATGGCTCAGCCATTAAGAGCATGGACTGCTTTTACAGAGAACATAAGTTTGGCTCCCAGCCCTCCTGTCAGGTGACTGACTCACTATTGCCTGTAACTCCAGCTGCAGGGGGATCTAACGCCCTCTTCTGGTCTCCGTGGGCACCTGCATTTATTTGCACATACCGACACGGAGACATATACCTACACACATAAAAAATTTTAAAAATAATTTAAAAGTCATTTAAAGTGGCACGTATGCATGTAACCTATGCAGATCCTTCTGTATATTTTAAACTTTCTCTAGCTTATGCATAAGACTTAATTCAATGTAAATGCTATGCAAATGATTCTTACACTGTATTATGGAATGTTGACAAGAAGAGAAGTCTGAACAGTATAGATGGGTTTATTTTTCCTGAATACTTTCAGCCTGCAGTTTGCTGAGTCCATACCTTCAACCCCACAGGCACGGAGGGTGAACTACATATTACACAGTTCCAGACTGTGTCCCTGTGGCATTATTCACAGCGCAAGTTCAGGACGCATTTCCTCTCCCTGATGATGTTGTGGACGGTAAGGCTGCTGGTGAGGAACGATGACTGCTAACAAAGATGACTTGGTGGTCACCTACGTGCAGCAACCCTGGATTTGAAGTGTGAGCGCATCCCTTCCACCATGCGCCCTCTTTCTCCCCCTCTTTTCTGACATGGGGGTTAAGGGTGGAAAGAGCCCTCCAGTCTGGCACAGGCCCCTTTAAAAATGTACCCAGGCTCCTCCTCTGCCAACCAGGTTGCTAAAAATACGGCTACAGCAAAAGCTGAAATATTTGCAGAGAAAACTGAATTTCCTGCTGCTACCCCCCACTCCCTCCACTCAAATGGGTAAAACCCTGACCTTAGAAGACCCAGCGCAGCTCTGCTGAAGGCACAAGCCTCCAGTTTTCCCACCCCTTCTTATTATGGAGTCTCTCTGTGGGCTTGAGCGGGGATGTTATGTTCAGAGAGGGCCCACTCCCAGGAGGGGAAGCCACAAGTATTGGCAAATAGATGGTCACGTGACACCTCAGCTTTTTTTTTTCTCCCCTATGCTTACTAGGACCAATCCTCTCCAAACCCCTCTCCGCCTGTCCCAAGAAGGATCTGTATTGGACCACAGAAGCTCTACACTAATTTATGTTTTATCCTCTCACTGGGCCAACCATCTCTTCTACCTACCTGCCTTACCTTCTAGTCTTTACCTCTGCAATCCCTGCTGGCTCCAGCCCAGGGCAGTAACATGCCCTGGCTCCCTCCCTACCCTGCCCTTATCTGGAACTCTTCTTTCCAGGTCTGCAGTCCTTTCCCTCAGCAGCTGTGGGAGCCGGCCAATGGGCGGGGGAGTTGAAACTGGAAGAGTTAAGAAGTATATGGCCTAAGACAATTAGCTCATAAGGAGTTCTCTAAAACTCGACCTCTGGCACCAGGCCCTAAGGTGAAGCAGGCTATGGTGGGAAGCATGATCTGACACCACTTTGCCAAAGACCAGACTCATGCAGTCACACTCAAGGGCCCCAGACTGCACCTGTCCCTTCTCCAAGCTCACCTAGAAATTCACAGGCAACAGTCCCATCAGCTCACCTTGCTGACCAAGTTCAGGCTCCTGGTCCAGAAGAGGGCCTTCCTACCAGCCTCAATGTGTGTGCTCCAAGGCAGTGAGGGAGTCCAACAGGATGAAGCGGTGGATGTCACAGTGTGACAGCCTGCTTGGGGTGTTTCTGAAGATGTATGAGCAGCCAGTGTTGCCTGCCTTCGAGGCTGCATATATGTGTCACTCGCCTCTGTGTATTTGAATTGTGAGTGTGTCTGTCTTCTCATTCTGGGCTCTGCCTTCCTCTCTGTCTTTCCTCACCTTGAAGTCTGCCCATCCCCCAGGCCAAGCACTGAGGCCAGTTCTGTGTGGGCACTTCAAGTGGGCTGTTACTGAAATGGTTGTTTCGTGGATGGAGCTGACAGTTGCCGTATCTGGTATCCCATGGGTCTGCCAGTGTTCAGACACCCTCACCCCACACAAAGGTGTCTTGCAGGAGGAAGGGAGGGAGGTGCTGTGTGGGAGTTGGAAGAGGGGGATAAAGATACCCCTCCTTTCAGTTCTGACCAGCAGGAAGAAGGGCCCAGAGGCAGCACAGCCTGCAGAGCGATGTTGCCTAGCAACTCGGGAGACTTTACTGCAAACTCACCAAATCCCAGATTCCTCAGCTCTAATTTGGGAAAAGCAGAGTCCAGACCTGATATCCTCTCTGCCCCTCAGTTTACCCCTTCCTCTCCCGCCTCGATTCTGGAGTAAAAGCACAGAGGAAGTTGGCAGAACTAAGGGCTCCAGATGTGTTTGTCATTTAGGCAAGGACCTGAGTTCCTAGGACATCCTGCCATTTGGTGGAGGTGGGGGGACTAAAGATGTGCCAGAGACAGATTGGGGAACAGATTTGCTGTTACAGGGGTGGGTGGGTCCCAAACATGCTGGGAGAGACACCCCTACACCCCAACTCTGGAATCCCAGCCAGCCTCCAGCTCAGCTTGGAGCCCCAAGCTGGCTAATCCTGTCCCCAACCTGAGTGGACACGGGCATATGCCTCCCACTCATTCTCTCTTTAGCAAGGAAAGCCATGGCCCAAGTACTCAGTGAAGTGGACATTCAACAGTCCCATTGCTGGGACTGGCCTGTGACAGCGGATCCATTGCAGCTCTGCTGTTTGGGGTGCCCTGTCCTGCTCAGAGCCCCAGGGCATTTCTTCCTCTCTGCTTTAAGCAGTAGCCTTCCTTCCCTGTAGCCTCAGAGACCTCAGCTGAGAAGGACTTGAGTTTTCTCAGAGGTGTCCCAACCGCCTGCATAACATGACACTATCAGCTATACTACCTGGACAGTCTGGGAAGTTAAGTGACCGCAAAAAGAGCAAGTTGCCTGCCCTAGATGTCCCTTCCACATCTCTGCTTCCCAGCCTCTCCCCAACCCACATCCTTCTCCAGCATGGACTCAGGGTGCCAATACTAGTGATAACCCCCACGCTACTCTAGTTGACAGCATCCTTCTTCTTCCAAGGAGCAAGTGTGAGGGTGGCCGACTTTTGACTTATTTTGAAGCAGTGAATCAAAAGGTTAGGAAGTCTAGTGTGCAGAGTGGGATGGGTGGATGTGCTAAGTCTGTACCGGCACATAAGTACCTTCAAATAGGTGCTGGGCATAAGCGATTTCATTTGGTGCAGATGGGTGGAAGGATAGATGGATGGGTAGACAAATAGATCACAGATCCATGGACAGATACAAAATAGATACTTGGTCAGTGACGACTGCAGACACTTATAACTAGCCAAAGTACTGAGAATAAATGGCTATTGAATGCCCAGCCATAGAGTGGATATATGTATCGACCCTTCCAAGGCCCAGAAAACATCATGGGAAAAGCAGTGGAAGGAATGTAAGAACCGTAAGAAAGGCGGTGAGGTGTGGAAGTCTGACTTGGCTGCTGCACTCTTGAGCTCACAGCAGCTTGGTTACCTGAACAAGATCTGGACGAGATTGGGCCATCAACACTCTGTCATGGAAAGGGGCGGGGCTCATGAGGTCCCATCTCCCCCCTGAAGATTTATATGCAGTTAATGGTTGGTGAGGTAGGGAGGGACATTTTCTTCAGTGATGAGTCACTAGTAAGATGCCTACTTACGCTCCTGTAAACAAACCCTTACCCATGCTCCTGCAAACAACCCTAATAAAATTCAATGGGTTCCTCCCCTCAAAAAACGACGATGTGGTAGTAAAAGGGATACTTGTGGAAAGGATGGGGATTATAGGGAGAGGGGAAGAGAGGGTAGCCAGGTGAAAAATATTTAAATACATTATGTACATGTATGAAAAGGTGATAATGAAACCATTTATTATGTAGAATCAATATATGCTAGCACAATGTTTTAAATAAAATTTTTAAAAAGAAATTTTTTATTTAAGTATTGTATTAAGTATGTAATGCAGATATTGCCAGTAGTGAGAATGCAAGCATTTTTCTGTCTGTGTGCTAGCACCCAATCCCAAAACAGGAAGTTTGCAATTTACCTGTGCTTCATAGGGTGTGTGTACAAGGCCCATGTGGTTGTTTTTGCCTATTGTGTCTGCTGTGTCTGTATGTGGGAAGATAGGCACACTTCACTGAACCCGGGAGTATATATGGATGCGTGAGACTTGAAGCGTCTGCATCGCTATGTACCCATCTTGCAGGCTGTGTATCAACAGCTTTCTCCGTAGCTAGAGTGGTAAGGGCAGTTTCCTTGCAGTTTCTGGAGCTTTTCTTTGCAGAGTGGGGAGATAGAGGGATCAATGTTTGAAACTCTGGGTTGTGAAAGTGTAGGAAGGTGGGTGGGGTGCGTGGTTTTCTCTGTATGGGCGGTAAGGCGTGCTGCGCCCAGATGTGTGTTTGTGCCCTAGATGTTGGGGGCCTTGTGCCTACTCCGACATACATCTGCCTGGCAGTCTGTGGTTTAGAGCAAAGGGATTGAATTTGGGAGATGGGGTGTGTAGGAGGAATGGATGGAAGTGTGTAGGCGGAGGGGTTGGGGCACCAAAGCGAGCAGGGCGGAGAGAGCCGAGAGAGGGAGTGGTCCTCGCTCCAGCTCTCCCCGCCCACCCTACTAAAAGTGCCTCCTGATTGGCTTCGAGGCCGCAGGGCTCAGGTTACATTCGCAAGAGTTGCAGAGCGCGGGAGACCGGACCCAAGAGGAGAGAGGTTGGTTCTGCAGGGGTTCTGTTCTGGTCGGGGAGTGCCGGACAGCCCCTGAGCTGCCACCCAGTATCGTGCAGACCCACCCCCAGCTCTGCGCCAGGCTCCACCCCAGCCAAGGACCCTCAACAGCGGCATGGACTGCTGCACGGTAAGTCTATGCTCGAACTCAGCTTGGTCTGGGGCAAGGGGCGCCCGAGAACCCCTGGAGGATGAGTGAGGCATGGAAGTCGGTGCGGAAGACTTAGGAGCCTTGTGGGGAAGGACGGTGCTGAGATATTGTATGGGGTGGTGGAAGGCGCCTGCCTGATCTGAGCCAAGCCCCAGGGGAAAATGCTCCCCAGCTCGCGGGGGCGTCTGAGCGCCCAGGGGCCAGGCAGTCTAGGTTGGCTCGCAGCTGAGCAGAGCTTTCCTGCAGGGAAGCTGCAGGTTAGACGACAGGTGGAACTTCCCCCAGGGAGACACTGGAAACTGTTGCTTGTGTGCAAGTCCTTTCCCATGGTATTTTTGGCCCCATACCGTTTCCTATCCCTTTGCTGCCGTCGTGGACCGTGACAAGATCTTCACGACCCTCTCACGATCATCTAGCCCTTATATGGCTAAGGCAGGGAGAATCCACCTGGTCTTGGTGGTGATGGGCAGCAAAGAGCCTAGTCAGTGTGGTTCTGGGGAGGAGCTGGCCCGGCCCCCAACGCCTTCTCTTTTAGAAGGTGCTGGGTGAGTGACCGTGACAGAGCCCTGCTGGCGAGGGGAGGAAGTGTCTGTGTCAGCGCCCACACGGAAACTGGATACTGCAAGTGCCTAACGCCAGAGCAGATCCTGTTAAAAGAACTTGTATGACGGTGCCCGGCACAGGACCTGACTCCTTAGCTGGCTAAAAGAGTAGAGTGGCCAGACCTATATAAAACGTGTTTGCTTATTCTTAGCCCCTATCTGCGGAGAAAGATGACTCCAAACTCCTGGTATTCTCCTTCTGTCCGCCTGGCTAAAGACTCCAGAGGGTACTTAACGAGGGCACCCCATCTTTCACCCACAGTGTGCAAATAAATGAATAAATAAATGAGTTTGGAAGGAAGGAGGAGCCCATTTCTTTAAGGGGTGAGACTTTCTGATGTCTGAGTGCCAAAAGGCAGCGAGAACTTAGGAGCAAGCCATGGTTGAAATTTTGACTCTTGTTAGAATCAGTAACAGCTGCCAGTGTACCAGTTCCGTGAGGCAGGTCTTTTACAGCTATACAAACGGAGGTTTAGAGATGTGATTTTTCCCAAGTAGGCGTCGTTGGCAAATGTGGAGCCCTGTCCTCTCAAAAGGCTGCCCTCTAATCCCTCTTTGAAGTATACTGCTTTTCCATTACTGTAAATGCTCATAGCCGTTAATGTATAGACCAGAAAAACTATGAAAAAGAAGAATGCCAATCACATATAGTCCCACCCCCTGAAGAAAACTGACAGACAGTTCCAGGGAAGCTGTTTGTTATTCTCCAGAGAACAGTTTGTTTTCTTATTTATTTATTTATTTATTTATTTATTTATTTATTTATTTATTTTACTTCCTTACTTATTTTTGGTACTGGGAATTGAACTCTAGGTCTTCTGGGTGCTAAATATACACTCTGCCTCCGAGCTACACACCCAGCCCAGGAACCATGAGAAATGCAGGTCTTCAGTCTCGGTCGAGGAAGAGCCCCTCATTCCCAGCAGTGCATCATTAAGTAGAGAAAATAAATCGATGGCAGGTTATGAGATATGAGCCAATGGGGGAGGGTACTGCTGAGCAAGGAAGAATGGGATGAGAAGGCAAGGAGGATGGGAAAAGGGATCAGGAGACAGGGTCAATGGGAAGACAAGAGTGAGTGAAGACTCTGGGAAGCCTGGGAAGGGATCTGCAGGGTGATGAGGGTGAGATGTGGGGCTCCGGCCTGCAAGCCCTGTCTGCCCTGGCTAGTGCTTGTGAATATCCAGGAAGCCATTGATGCATGGCTGCATAACAGTGAGTACCCAGGAAGCCATTGGTACAAGGCAAGTAGATAGCCACAGAACAGATACCTGATGCTGGTAGTTAATAACTGAGGGTGTGGTTGACA